CCCCTCCCCCCCGACGCTGCTGCATGCCGTCGTCCTCCTCGAGCTATCCGGTACACATATTTTAAACAACATATTTTTTTCATTCAAGATATAAAGGTATTTTACATATTTAAAGAAAATTATAAAAATGACGCTAATCGTCGTCGCTAGCCGCTAGCAGGTCGATCACGACGGCGCCTTCGCCGTCATCGCTGTCATCACTGTTGTCGTCATCCCAGTCGTCGGGGTCGTCGTCCTCTGCCGGCGCCGCCTCCTCGTCCTCCGTCAGCGCCACCATCGTGGCCTCCTCTGCTGCCATGGCCTCGGCGGCTTCGATTGCGGCCGCTGCTTCCGATGCCCGTAGGGTGACGTGCCAACCCGGTGTGTCATCCGGATCGCCGTCCTCGCGGAGGATGACTTGTTCCGGCGGCAGCTCCATGGCGGGAGGAACGACCGGTGCACGTGCGGGCGCAGCCGTCGGGGGTGCTGGTTGGCGGGCAGCTCCACGATGGCGCCCCCGCGGGGCCGGGCCGTGTGCTGGTGCCGGGGCGCGAGGGCCGCCGCTCACGCCAGTGAGGTCGGGGGTGACGCCGGCCGGCGCCAGGCGAAAGGCGGCGATCACCTCATCGTAGACCTTGCCTTTCCAGAAGGCATGACGACCTATGATGTTGTGGCGGCCGCCGACGCGTGTCCGGAGCTTCTCCGGCGTTGCGCCGGGGCCAAGCGCCGTGTAGCCGTCAGCACTGATCTTCCACTACTGGGAAGACGGCAGCCCGGCGGCACGAGGAGGCCATATCGGCATAGCTCCGCCGTCTCCGGGTTGCCGAGGCTCGACGGCCAGGCGCTCGGGGCGTCGTCGTCGCCTCCGGCATTGCTGCTCCCACGGTGGTAGGACATCGCCGACGCTGGTTTTCTCGACGGCGGGCAGGACGTGGGGTGTGCATTCGGGTGTGGGGTGCCGGCGCCGGGGCGAGGTCTTATAGCCGTCCGGGTGACGGGAGGTGGGCGGCCGGCATTACTGCTCATCAATGCCGACGCCTCAGGATGGGACGCATCGACGGGACGGGGCGATGGGGGCGGTGAAAGGCGAGGCGACCGTCGACAAGATAGGGCGTCAGGGGTGGCAGACGACGCAGTTTGACCGGGCGACGTGCGTCAGTTTGACCGGACGACGCGGTTAGACGCCACCCGTCATGCGGGGTACGTGGGGTGACGTCACGTTTTGCCGTCAGCTGGCAGATAACGGGGCTAATGTCTCTTTTTTGCCGTCCAGGTTCTTTGCCGTCTGCCACCGACGGCAAAGTGCCTTTGTCGTCCGCTTTGTGGAAGTAGACGGCGAAGAACCTGTTTACTGTCACTCTCTTTGTTAGGCAGGTTTGCCGTTGGTGGCGGACGGAAAAGAGGTTTACCATCTGCTTTCGGTGCCTTTGTCGTCCGCCATGGCAGATGGCAAATAAGCTGATTCCTGCAGTGTATGGTTCTTGGACCATGGAGGAACGCTGGATCCCAACCCTTATCGGCGGGAGGACTCCATTTGTAGGTGTTTTTTTAAGTTTTGTTAGGGTTTGTGCCATGTTCAAGAAGACACGACGGTGACAGCTTCCTGAAGATGGAATAAGGTCCTCCCCGTCTAGCCTCTGTCCCGACGGAGTTTCTAGTGTCGTCAGAGGCAGTGTGGAGGTATTGTTCGCACACGAACACGTCACCATGTACCCTTGACACTGGGGGTGGTACACCGCAACTCATGTCAAAGGAGACCCGACCGGAAACGCGGTACACAAGCAATCCGGCGAGCGCTTTTGTAGACCCAAAACCCTACACGCCCGGGAGAGACCCCGTCAGGGCACGCGATGGCTATGGGCTTCTCTAGGTCGGCCGGACTGCCCCTAAGGCCTCGCGGATTCGCTGCCTCCAATCTCGAAGAACAACGAAGAACGAGAAGTAAGATACAAGGGAGAGGGATAAAGATAGATGAACACAAAAAAGTATGATAGATTGATTTGTTCGATTGTGTGTTGTTCAATCGGCTGTCGCCCCTTTCATATGTATGAGGCGGCTGGACTTCCCGTACAAGAAAAGGACTCAAATCATGTCCAAATCATGAAATGTTACCCTAACTCGGACTACGAGGGCCGGAACTTCCGGTCTAGCCCAGAACTTTCGGGCTCAAATTATATCAAGTAGCCCTCTTGCACTGAATCTGCAGGTCACATATGACTTTGGATCGCGATGGTGTAAAAAGAAAATTGTGGA